CGTTGATCCAAAAATAATTTTTTCTGAAGAATTAAAAAACAAATTCTTTCACTTATTTTCATTTGTCATGCATCTATTTTTTCTAAGAGCACAGAATAATTGTTGACATAATGAGTGATATTTAACCAAACTAATAGTAAAATGTAATATGTTTTTCTGGAAAACGAATATTTCATAACAAAAGCAATTGTAGTGAACGAGAACACAAGTGGGGACAATCGAATGTATTTGAATATAAAAATCTGAGAACTATACAGTAAATACTTCATTTGTAAAATATCAGTCAATCGTCTCAGATTTCATTGTTCTTTTGTTTTCATACTAATTATTCTTTGTTCTCATTTTCTTTCATTTGATCTTCTTAACGTTCTGACACCAAGAATTTCACTTTGGATTGACGATACATACTACTTATATCTATCGACATCAGTAACACGCATCATACAATTAGTTTGGTATTTTTATTAATTATTCAAAATAAAATACTTGAATGGATCGACGAATTGTTTCTTAATTTTATGATTTCATTGTTTAATGTTAAAAGTGAACTGGTATAATAATCGAAATATGAACATTATTTATGGTGTGCGCTACACACAAGTAATATATAACGATAGTCAGGAATAGAATGTATTTCAGTAGAAGATCGAGAACGATAGAACGAGAACGGAAAGCAATTGGTATGAAAATGCAGAAACAATGAAATCTGAGACAATCGATCGACATTCTGCAAATTAAAGATTTACTGTATGGTTCTTAGATTTTAGTGAGATATTCTATGATTTCGTGTTCATATATACTCGGTTATCCCAACTCATGTTCTTGTTCACTACATATTAATTATGTAATTAATTGAATCTGAAAATAAAAGTTTATTGTTTTATATTAAAATGATTTTAAAGATGGTTTAATAATCTTTATTAACACTTTTATTTCATCTTTTCTATTTAGTCCTATTACATATGCGTTCATTAACTATAGATTGATTCTTTTTATGAAGATCTCTTTTTCTTTAGTTCACATTTAGTGTTTACTTTCATAACACGTTCCATCTAAAGGATCTCCATTTTGATTATAAGTATTATAACTAAGATTTGACATGACAATGTCAAATAAATTTGGCATTAGGTGAATTATTTCCTTAGAAAAACTAAACTATAAAATAATGTCGGAAGGGGTTTTGCTGATATTATATTAACTTTAATAGTTGAGATCATGAGCCAATTGAAGCTAGACCGTGATGGAAAACCTGGATGCACTGGACTGCCGTTACGTCCTATTGTGGGATCAAAACCGACAGGTCCCGGGTTTAAATCTCACGGGGCGGGATCGTGGGTGCGCACTGTTGGGGGGTCCCAAAATAGGACGAAACGGTCGTTCAGTGCATCCAACATTTCGTGACTTAGTGTAAGCTTTTTTTTTGTAAAAAGTAAATAAATGAATTAAATTAATACAAATGGTACTAATGAACAAATCATAACCTTTAGTACTTAATTTTATTGTTGTTATAATCTTCTAGTGTATATGAGTGATCTTTTGCATTAAAACATTTACAGTTACAGTATACAAAAACTTTCATCTAAATTTTAATGAACAGATTCATATTATCTGGGTGCTGAGTTGCAAGATATTAAAGAGGAAGAATTTATTTACAAAATCGTGGTGATTGAATTTGAAGTGAATACACTGTTTCGTTCAACAATTTGATATGAGATTTTCTTTGAAACGTCATCGGATTTACTTCAAATTCAGTCGCTGAGTTTTTACAAATATATTCGCCCTCCTTAATATCTTTACCATTATATTTTAAATATCGACATAACAATTTCAATTTAAGACTTATTTCATGTACAAAATGAACTGTATATTTTTTCGACAGTGTAATAAGAAGACGAAGATTATCAGAACTATGTGATACATTTAGAATAATCTGATCACATAAATACTAGTTAAGAAAATCTATATATAAAGTAAAAGGTCAACTAGAATAGAAATGGAAGGTAAGAGGAGACAAGGATAATAGTGAATATAATATGAAAAAAAAAAACAATTTGAAACCTTATTACTCTGCATAATAAGTTAATATTACCAAGGTAGGTTTAATGTAGGAGCAAACTATTTTTGAATACAAAAGGGGGTTTGAATTTCCGTATGGCTAAGGCCTACATCAGTCATTAATAAGACTTATAGCGCTACAAAGGTCATTATCAAGGAAAGAAAAAGGACCATGCTATTACAGAGTAATACGTTTTGTTAATGACTGATTTCTAGTCTCATTGACCTTTTATTTTTATCCCAAAATGGTCTTAACAATTATATTACCTGTGTTCAGATTGTTCGAAATGTATTTCACTGATATATCATATTACTTCTGCTAATCATCATCTTATTATTACACTATCGAAATGTATATTTTTTGTTAGCCTGCTTAATATATAAATGCGTTACGAAAATATCCTAATTTATGCCACAAAATATAACTATATCAACCTTTAATAAAACTAATTAAGCATTTAAAAAAACGAACAAAAATTCTGAAAATCCCACCATTTCTTATTCAAGTATGTTTTCAATCGCAATTGATTGATCACTGGGTGGTGAGCAATGTCATGTGTGTCAAGTCCTTATTATTAGTGCAGATCGAATGCTATCGACCATGATGCAATGTGGCCATCAGTCTAGGTGACTTGACACTACGTGCACTATTGTGAGATTAGATGGTGGTTGGAGGTAGTCGACAGGAAACCCTGGACCGGGGTTTTGTGCTACTTGGCACTCGTCAGCAAGGTGTACCTGTAATCTTGAGGGAACTGGTGCTCCCTGATGGATTCTATCCCGTGTCACCCAGCTTTACAGTCAGAGACGTTACCACTGAGCTATCCGAGCCGCGACCAACCTCCTGTAGGACTGAGATATAATCACAATTGATTGATCACTGGGTGGTGACCGATGTCATATGTGTCAAGTCTTTATTATATTTTCAATAATAATATTTGCACTATTAAACATTCAATCATAAGTCAATTCAGAATAGAAATACTATTTGTAATGACATAAAAAATATTTATATTTCATTTAATGAATACATAAAACTTTTATGAATTCTTTTATGAAGAAAGATAAATCATGATATTAATAACTAGCTATTTATTTGAACACATAAACATTGGTACAAGGGGAGGCACCAAATGCATATGCGCTACACAATAATAATGAGGTCACTAGCAGTTATCACTGATATATGTGAGAGCTGTGGTGTTATCTAAGTGCCGAAATCGAAGCAGGTGATTTTCTTAGGAGGCCACAGCCGGAGCCTTTTACCTGATGATTTCATCCTCAAGGCAGTGGAGCAACGTAAGGAGATGAAACCACATGATAGCCGGTGACCAACAATAGGTTCATACGCATTTTGTTCCTTCAGGATTCTGAAGCCCGTGTACACCACTGGTTTGCAAACAGGGTTTTCTAATTTCCATAGGTGGATAATCCATATCCACCAACCCGATAAAGCGTCAAACACTCACTTTTCGTCTTCTGAATTTCGTAAACAACATCCCCGAAGCGAGAAGACAGAGAATAAGATAACTAACTAAACTCGTTGATGTGTTATTTTCATTTAATTTTGAACAGTTAATTATTTCATTATAACAATCGGTGTACAAATTTGTTTGTCACATTTTGACATTCAGTTGTTTGGATTATACATTTTGATCGAATGCCCTAGAATACTCTGCAAACTGATGTTCATTTAAATTTCACATATACGTTTCTTTTTCGTTATGATGCATAAAATATGAAAATTTTAGTTCATTACAGAAATGAAAATACCAGGTGATTTAAAATATTTCACATGATACTTGACCGTTGTTTAACAAAATGCAGTTGTTTTTATTATGTTCATCATAAGACGATTATTGTTGGAAACAGATTATTTCTTACTACGTGATGCTCACGGAGGCAACCAGTACAAGTGAAGTATCTGTATGACCTTTAGAAATAAAGATTTTCGACATAAATCACACAATTGCGTTTGATACGAACAATTCGAAAGACTTAATTCATCTGTACATTATGCTAAGCATTTTTGATTTATTTGTAAATGAGTTTGCCCTAATTAGCTCAAGCTGGAACTCTGTACTGAATTTTAGTAACCTTAAGTAAATAATAGTATATCTTTTCTGAGTTCTTTTAATTCAATAGGAAGTATGTCAGAACTGCCTAATATCTGATGTGGCTAGACCCTAGTGTTCACAGCCTCTCACTAGAACTCAAGGAATCATTCACCAGTCAGTATATGATTATCATTACTGTAAAGAGGGTTTGTAGAAACTGTCCAATTGATTTTCGTTAGATAAACATCAAAAACAATCAAACACTGGACAGCCGCTTTCTTTTTAGTACGAAACACTTAAACAGTTTTCATTCACAACACTACCGGAAATCTGACTCAATGTCTAAAAACTTCGTGACAAGCGTCTAACATTTGAACCACATACCGTTACTCAATAGTCTGTATATCTAATGTCAGTGATAAGTAAGTGCCTCACCAAAAATTAAATCACATCTTTCCAACAATTACTTATTCGACTATTTAAAGTTATGTATCTTCATTTCTGTGAAAATCGATGGTTTAAACGAAATGTTTTATGGTAAACAACAAGATGTCATGGTATTTAGAAAAAATTTTAGACTCCATTTTTCCTACATCTTAAGGAACTAACTGTAAGCAAATACTTAATCGTATTCCTTACAAAATAGCATGAGTTTTAAGGAGAATATTAGTTTTCCGCTCTTTAATTATGCTTTAGAGGGAAGAGCCACAAACTTCTGAGCAAACTGTTGTTTTCATCTTGATCTGATCTTTGATTATCATTTAGTATTATCCTATACACAGTCATTTTGAAAAACCGTATGTATGTACGTATTTAATTAGCTATTGTTTCGACAGTTATATTTCCAAATCATTTTAGTAACAAAATGTCTATTTCCGCAATCTTTAGGAAATTATTCAATTAAATTTGAAGAAAGCTCACTAATAGATTTAGAAGCAGTATTCCTTTCAGCACTACCTGGCCTTCAGTCTAATAAATGTTTCGAATGTGGATGTGTATTAGATTCACACAGCGGACATGAACTTAAAACAAATAATAAAATGAATGAAAATATTTCATCTAATAATAATAATAATAATCACAAATCAATGAAACGTCAGAAATCACACAAAGAAGTATTTTCACACTTACGACGTGTTCGTTCTCATCATCAGTTCAGTCAAATCGACATTACTCCACAAGCTACAACTATGCGTATTTGTCATATGACTGGAAAATATTATTGCGAACGTTGTCACTGGGATGACACTTGGTATGTACCAGGTTCAATATTCCTCCTAAACGATACATCTAGACAACCTGTAAGTCTATTTTCTTATAATCATTAAACATGCATCATTAATTTGAACGTTTTTATATAAGATTCAGCGACTACTTTCTATCATAGGTGACAGAAACATCTATTTTTTCTTTCGCATATAAGAGGGGTATATTCTTTTCCTTTTTAATTTAGGAATATACTTTTAAATATCAGTGTGCAATAACATCTAGAGTAAATTTAATTGCTACTCATCTACAAAGTAAACATTTAGTGATGAATTAAACGCATTTTCGATCACTTCCATGAAAAATAAATTTAAATACTCAATTAATCAAACCTGTTTGTAGTTTATATCATACAATGACTTTGGTTATCTTAGGTTGATATTAAGAGAACCCTTAAAAACCATGCCGTTCTAGATTCGGGCTACTTAGCAGTGCTTGTCCACCATTTTTATCAAGAATCAAACTCAGCATCTTCAGAAATAATGACAAAAACGCAAGCATTATATCACTGAGTTAGCATTCAAAGGCTTATAAAATTAAATAAAATGGATTCTTAATAGTGATTGACTGTGTAATCTGTTTCTGTCGAGGGTATTTTCTCAATCTAGACATGCCTTTATTACAATGGACACATCATATTACTGGGATCCCTAATATTTTGCCAGTAGTTTGTTAATAGTCAAAGTATTATTATTATTATTATTATTATTATTATCAGAATACACTATTTATTGATGTAATTTAGATAAGGTTCAATTTACTTACTAGAGATATATGTGCCCATAATATGGTAGAATAACGCATTTAAAATCTTTTCGAAACAATCGGTTTAATCATTGTGAGTTTCCATTCAGTTTAAAAACAAAATAATCATTTTTGATTCATGAAATCTAAGACATTCATTATTTTTTTCTGAACAGGTTTGTCGTTCAGTCTACATTAAATTGTGCGTTATTTGGGATTCTTTGATATTGAAAGTTCCAGCTTATTGGCATCGAGATAACCTTGAGGCTGGAAAAGTTTACGAGATTCGCACCAAATTACAACCACTTTTACGCTACGCAATGTTATGTCCAGAGGCTTCTTCCATAAAGGCTAGTGCTGAAGTAAGCTTTCTTTTATCGACAAAGTTATATTTAATTATAATGCTTATGACTTAAAGCAATATCTATACAGGATGCACAGATGCCAATAAGAGGCTGATCAGTTGCAGTTCTAAATATCAACAAACAATACAAGATTAATTTAAACTTCACCCCATTGCACAAGCAAGTGGCTATCAGGACTCAGTAGCTAAGTGGAAAACGCGATATCGTTTGAAGCGAATGGTACTGAGTTCAAGTATTAAAGTTAATACCAACTCTGGGAAGCAGCTATGTCCAGCTGACGAGTCCCAAATAGGACGAAACGCGTTTCCTGAATACCTTTACTAGCCACTATCTATCTTTGTTTATAAATTTATATTTGGTTATTTATTTATTATATAGGAATAACCATTTGAATGAAGAAAAATACTAACCACTTTTTATCTCCATTTAACCATTAAACTGATTAAAATTATAATCTTTCTCTTTAGACATAGACTAATTTATCAATTTCAAAGTTTCACATAATTGTAAAAATGTATATTGTACACCATAATGAGTAAAGTTAATTTACCAACTTATAAAATAAAATAAGAATTTCAAGGATATGTTATTTACATACAACATCTAACATAAAATCTTTTAGTTATATCTAAAATATCTAAAAGATTTGAATGGTTTTAAAGACTTAGCTATAAAACTGATTACATAACACCAGATTATTTCAATTTAAACTAGACATAGTTTAGTTTACTAATAATCGTATATATATATTAATACAGTTCTTCATAAATGAACTTTATAAACGGTATACATTCATTTAGCATATATGTCTCATGATAGATTATTACAATTGACATTCTACTATTAAAGTGAATAATTAACTTATGATTGATGATACATTTTTATTATAAAAATATTTTATTTTTCGGAAATTTTAATGATTGATTACATGTTTGTTATGTGTATTGAGTAAACAAATTTACGAAAGACGTAATATTATGTTACCTACCATATGAGATTTTTTTAGTATTGATTAACGTTATTGATACGCTCATTTCAACATGCACATTGATTTGTATCAGTTTGCTTACAAATGTAAAAGAAGTACCTTAGATGCTGTTGTACAGACCAAATCGCAACTCTATGGATGATTGTGGAACAATCAATTGAATGGAATTCATCACTCTACATCAATTTCATTGACTATGAGAAAGCATTTGACAACGTGGACAGAACAACACTATGGAAGGTTCTTCGACAGTAAGGAGTACCTGAAAAGATAGTCAATATCATACAGAATTCCTATGATGGATTAAACTGCAAAATCGTGCATGGAGGGCAATTGACAAAGTCGTTCGAGGTAAAGACCGGTGTCAGGCAAGGTTGCTTACTCTCACCCTTTCTCTTTCTCCTGATGATCGACTGGATCATGAAGACGTCAACATCTGAGGGGAAGTATGGGATACAGTTGACAGCTTGAATGCAGCTGGACGATCTAGACTTCGCAGATGATTTGGCTCTTCTATCGCAATCGCAACAACAAATGCAGGATAAGACGATCAGTGTAGCAGCAGCCTCAGCAGCAGTAGGTCTCAATATACACAAAGGGAAAAGCAAGATTCTCCGATACAACACAGCATGCATCAATCCAATCACAATTGACGGAGAAGATTTGGAAGATGTAAAAACCTTTACATATTTGGGCAGCATCATTGATGAACAGGGTGTATCTGATGCAGATGTGAAGTCACGGATCGGCGAAACAAGAGCAGCATATTTACAACTGAGGAACATCTGGGACTCAAAACAACTGTCAACCAACACCAAGGACAGGATTTTCAATACAAATGTCAAGACAGTTCTACTGTATGTGGCAGAAACCTGGAGAACTACGAAAGCCATCATCCAGAAAATACAGGTGTTTATTAACAGCTGTCTACGCAAAATACTTCGGATCCGTTGGCCGGACACTACTAGCAACAACCAACTGTGGGAAAGAACAAACCAGATCCCAGTGGAGGAAGAAATTAGGAAGAAGCGCTGGAAGTGGATAGGACACGCATTGAGGAAAGCACCCAACTGCGTCACAAGACAAGCCCTCATATGGAATCCTGAAGGCCAAAGGAAAAGAGGAAGATCAAAGAACACATTACGCCGAGAAATGGAGATAGACACGAGAAAAATGAACAAGAATTGGATGGAATTAGGAAAGAAGGCGCAGGACAGTGTGGGTTGGAGAGTGCTGGTCGGCGGCCTATGCTCCATTGGGAGTAACAAGCATAATTAAGATGCCGTTGCTGTTCTGTATCACAGTATAGTGTTCAGCTTGGGAAAGGGTAAGAAATATGTTCTGGATTATACTTCTGCTTTTGATTCTATCTCGAGAAAACTTTATTTCAACAAGTTAGTCAGCATCAACATTTACATATGGACAAACAATCGGTTATATTCCTACCTCTCTGGAAGAGAAACGTACACTGTATTCGGAGAATTGTGTCCAGCATCTTTACTGTCTCATTAAGTTGTGTCATAAGGAGCCGTTCTTCCACCTCTTCTTTGCTATTTTTTTCTGCATGATCTGACATCTTCCACAGAAAACACTTTTGTGAAGTATGAGGACGATCTCACTTTATGTATGCTGATTTCTATCTCTTTACATTCCATAGAAATGAATGAGTTGTTGTCTCATATTGAATATTGGTATGCTGCTAACGGTCTCATAGTTAATCCGTCTAAATATCAAGCCGTTAAATTTAGCTTAAGACATGAACAGCACTTAAACAGCACTTTGAGTTCCCATAATGCTGGTTCCACTGGAGACTCTTTGATAAACAAAGTGTCTAATATCAATTATCTTGGTATTACTTTTTCCTTTGATCTCTCTTGGTCTTTTTATGTTTTACAGTTATCGAAGAAAGTTTTCCGTCTGACTTACTGCATAAAGAGGTTACATGCTTTTAAAATTACTCGACATTTTCTCTTACAATTTGTCAATTCCGGCATATTACCTTATTATTCTTTGCTGTTCTCCACTATTCTCTCTCGGGCTTTTGAGGACTAACACTTTGCTGTATTGCGGAGAGTGCTGAACGCAGTTAGCAAGGTGTGTGGTGAATCTTTTGAAGTCATTATTAATATGATTGTAGATAAACATCTAAAGTCCTGCAAACTTCCGGAAAGTGTTATCTTATCAGAATCTAACCATTCATATCTTTCTCCTTGTATATCTTCTCGTAGAACGAGACGTAAATATATGAAAATCTATGCAAACAATCTGCCAAATACGGATTTTCTAAAAGCACATTTTTGAACTTACTGCTGTAATCTCACTTGGTATTTTTTATTCGAATCTTCCCATTGATGTTTAGGACTTCAATTGATCAGTCTTTTATTGTTATATGTGCATACTGTGTGTATTTCATTGATGTTACCATAATGCACAAGCATAATAAACAAAGATGGATAATATTGGCGTAATTATGAAACTTCTAAAAACCGTTATTTGAACATACTTAACCAAAGAAAGTTACTGTACTTCATAAATTTAAGAATCTCAAGAATTTGTTGGACCGGTGCCGATGAGAATGGGAATGAAGTCTACTGTAATTTACATTATAGTATAAATTTCTTAATTTGTTAGTAAATTCAAAAGTTTTGTTTTTTGTTTGCTTTTCTAAAGCTTTCCGGACCAAGCTATTTGTTGGGTAATCCTGATTATTTTCGTATGTGTGATGTCCTTGATGTACTCAATGGAACACTTTATTCCAGATTAAAGGAGTATCTGAAAATTTGGTTTGAGCATAAAACACACTGTGAAGTAAGTCATTTATTTTACGTTATATATACTTGTGTTAATACAATAATTAAATTACATATTTCCATTTTAAACAGCTAAACCTCTCAAAGTTGATTATAGGTTATTTTGTGTTATGTTCGCTACTTGATTAACGCAGAATACGGTATTTAATAACGGCACTCGAACGTATAGAACCCCACAGTCACAAAATCAGAAAATAGAAGAAAGCTGGGGAAGTGTTTGTTGAGTAAGAATCGAAATGAACAGAAAGTCATGGGTATTTATACATATTAGCGTTTGTTATGACATCGTTATAATTCAGCCAATCCAAAAAGAGACAAGTTATGCTACTATACAATCGTAGTACGCCACGTTGATATTCTAGAAAGCTCGATCACGTTCTGATTAGATGGAGACTCTTCGGCTACTTCAGGGCCTCTGGAGGCTCCGTCGTAATTCTCGAAAGCCGCCCCAACATTTTGTATAAGATTTTTCTCATTTTTTTTACTTTGAACTAACACTAAGAATTTTATTGCATTAATCAGACATGAATAGTACTTCATATTTGTTAAGCGATACATGCAAATTTATTATTATCTGAATTTTTATTCTGTTAAAATTATTTAGTTGTATTTTGTTTCGACTTTACATACAATAGCATGATGATATTATTCAGAATATTCAAAAATTCGCTTGTGTACAGTTTCCCAAATCAATTTATTGTTTTAAAAATTTTTTGAGTTGAATAATATTAGTTTTAGTTTACCCATTGGGGTTTCACCGCGTGTGTTGGAATCCCATCATCGTCGCCAGTTTTATATCTAGAGCTTAGATTCTTGATACACCGCGTACAAATTGAGCACTCGAACACTAGAACCCTCGTTGTTGCAAATGAGAAGACAAAAAATGTGTGAGAAGGAATACTATTTCAAAAAAGTGTCGAATATGGTTCCAAACAGTCAGGTATTTATAGTTTTTCGTGAAAGCGGAATCATCATTATTGTCATTCAGTCCTCATACACTGGTTTTTAAATTTTGTCCATTAGGGAATGTATCTTCAATAGATGATTGTATGGAATGTCTCTGGCTCTTTATGAACACCTCATAGCCTCCTTAAGTTTACCCGTGGGCCATCCTCACATACATCCAAGATTATTCATTAACATAAATGTTCTTTTTAAACATTTAGTTCTAAGATTATAAAATTGTTAGGGCAGTATTTGTAACAAAGTGAATTGATTATATGTAACAGCACTTATTTCCAATACCTAAGGTCATAAGTGCAGTCAAACTCGTTAGATGGACATAAGTTAATATATGACAAGTGGCATCTTTTAAAATGTATTGAAGTAGTAAAAGTCAAGATATGCTTACTATCATTCATATAAATTGTGTGCTTCTTGATAACATGTCTTGTAAGATATAAATGCGGTTCACATTTGTGTTTCAATAAAGTAAAGGTTTAAAAAAATATATTTATATCTATTTTTTCTTGGTTATTCTTAAGTGTAAATTTGTTACGTTTAACAATGAATATATCTACTGATGCTTCGTCTAGCTAAGGTAGTAGGATTTACTGTGAAAATAGCAAAACAAGAAAACACAACGCAAACATTCTTAGTTTATGAATCATCAAAGTTAAGATTCAATAAAATCTTATGGTAGTACATATGATACGAAATTTGTACTAAATGAAGTAATTATAATTGACTTTAACTGGTTGTGTAGTGGACGAGAACACAATAATAGGAAGCTCTCAAGAAGGCAAGAATAAGCGTTTAAGTAACAGAGTTATCAAGTGATAAATTAATGGAAACTTTAGTGGAATTAATAGCTACTTCTTACTGGTGCGATACTCATCATTGGTGTAAACATGACATCGGTAAATATGAAAAGATTTGCAAACGGTAATGAAACGTTTCAATATTGCACTCATAGTGAATAGTCTACATATTTACCTTAATACTTTGAACTACTTATAAGTAGACTAGGGTAATACCCGTACTTTCAATTTGCAGTTACGCCACAGAATCAACATCAAGCCAATTTTTGTGAAGCAAAATAGTTTTTCATGTAATTCAAATTAAAAATATTTCACTACCATCGTCATCAATGTACTTTATATTGCTACCCAACATTCGAATACAATAGCTCTTATATGACCAGTAATTGTTACCATTTGTACCTGTATAATTAACACTACTATTCGTTTGTTTAATATTGGGTAACTGTAACAGTTAGCTTATAAAGAAAATTCTTTACCTAGGTTAATAGTTATTACATAATACATCCATGTTATAATGAACTAATTAGTCAAATAAGACCTTTTGACTTAACTTTAAAGCTTATCTCAACTCATTTATGAATTACTTTCTTAACCGGCTAACTAACCATCGTTAACCAAATAACAAAATCACTGTGATCCGAATGCTATTACATATTATCAAGTATGTTGATGGTTATATAAGATATATTTTAGTGAGGAGCCATAACGAAGGCCAGGTAAAAAGATCTTCACTCTACTCATTTCATTGTCAAATGTCTAAATGAAAATATCTTTTTTATGTCAAATGCTATATTGAACAAGTAACAAACTCTTTACTATTGACTGATCTCTGAGCAGTGAATAATTTCATGTGTGTCAGATCCTTCTTAGTGCAGGTCTTATTCTATCAACCACATTGCAATGTAGCCACTGGTCTAGGTGACTAGACATTGGATGCACTATGTTCAGAAATAGGATCAAACCTGTCAGACAGCATCAGTTCCATAAAGATTACAGGTACACCCTGCTGATGAGCGTCAAGCAACACGAAACGTAGGTTCAAGGTTTCCTGTTGATTACCTCCAACCTTTATCTTACAAGTAACAAACTTCTCCTACTATATATATATATATATATATATATATATATATATATATATATATATATATATATATGTTTATATAAGGTAGATGACAAATCCTGTATACTGTTAGGATGAAACCAAAACTAATAAATTAATAACCATGTAATACAAGGGTTACCTGCTACTTTATTATATCATGGAATAAATAAATAATATTACAGTAGACTTATGAAAAGCTTTTAATTAGTGAACATGAGTTACATAATAATCATAAAGGTAATAACATGCAATAATTTATAGAACGAATGTAAAAAAAATCAAGGAAGACATTAGAGAGAAAAACAATAGTTGACACTTACGATTTTTAAACTGAGACTATGTATCAAAGTCAAGATAAGAAAAGAGATTGAACCCCCTTTTTTTCTTAAAAAAAAAGAATTAAATATGAATTCTTTTAAATTCAACCGCATACAAATTTCATATCTAAACTTTCTATGACCCTATTCTTTTTTGATAATAGCAGATAATCCTAAATAATATCTAATGTGAATTACTTGACGAAAGTTGATCCACTAATCATTCGATTAAGCTGTTAGTCTGTTATCAAATTAAAAATTTATTTAAATTAATTTTTTTGTCCGTTTGTTTTTTTTCACAACATTTTCATTATAGATTTGTAATGATACCGGAAAATCTATTGAAACGGATGATGCAATATGGCTTGGTAACAAACCATCATAATGCGATTACGTTTAAAATGATTTTTTTTAAAATAAAAAACAGCCACAACATGTTTTCTTCATAGCGATATTATGATACTGTTTGTTTGTTAGGCTGGTAGGTTGGTTTTTTTTTCAAAAAACCACAAATTTGTTTTGTACAATTATTTGAATTACATATTTTTTTACATCTTTACTTATTCAATATTGATTGATTTAATAATTAATTATTAAATGTTCAATGAAAAAAAGAAACTATTTTTGTTTTCTTCTCTAAACTGTACTTTTAATTTTATTTTTTCTTTCAAAGAATATTGATTTTCGAATTAATTGATTTATTGATTATTTAGATATTTTGTTATTTTACAAATAAATTAAATAAATAATTAAATAAATAAATAAATAAATCATGTTATTGGAAGATGATCAGTTGAAATCAACATGGAATATAATATTTGGTTGGTTGTTTGTTTGTTCGTTTTTTGAATAAAGAAGCTTGTGAATTATACTTAGACAGTAGAATCATAGTTTAATTCATTATTTTGTAGAATATTTCTATTATGTAATAGAAAATATGTCTTTATTGTGTTTTAATGAAATGTTGTCAATATTCAATAAATGTATTCAGATCTTTAATAAAGAAAATCTATTAGAAATAAATTGTTTTGATGAAAAAGAAAGAAATAATATCGAGACTGAAGGCCCTAGGTTCGAATCCGGTGAGCGAGATCGTGCATGCACATTGATGAGGAGTCCCATACTTGAAAGAAACAATAGTCCAATGACTTCAGGTTTTTAATGGTAGTCTTACATTAATCGGTTCATGATCGCAAACAAAAACATAATAATCTTTACAACTCCCATGTACTCATTACTGACTTGCTTTTGAGGGAATTCTCGGAGTTTTAGTGAGAAATTGTTACTGGTGAAGCTAATCTGTGTCAGGTAGATACAGTTATTTACTTCAGTATAATGGGTGGTGGTCTAGAAGTTAAGCGTTAGGTTTGAATCCCGTGAGCGGGATCGTAGATGCAGACTGCTGAGGAGACTCAAAGTAGGACGAAACGGACGTTCAGTGCTTCCAGGTTTCCCATAGTGCTCTGGCTTTAATGGATTCATGAATTTAACCACAAAATTACTAAAATCTGTACAAAACCCCTTTGTGAAAATAATCATGTTATACTGATTTATCATTTTGAATCTGAAATTTACAAATAAAAATGGGCATATAATTTGTTTTAAATAAATGTTTAACAAGAAGTTCTTTTCTATAATGGATAATTTATAATGAATTTTGAGTATTACTACATTTCAGTAGAGTCATTAAGTAGTCAATTTAATTAGTGTACCTACTGGTTTTATAAAAGTTTGATTCTGGCTAGGTCAGTATTATTATTTTTGTTTCTTCTAAATACTCTTCATGTGTATCAATACTCCTACTCTATGTAGAATTAACTTGTTGTTAAGTATTTCTTATTTGGAAAACGAACATCATCAATAAGATTGTTAGCTTGAAAGAGTGATCAAATGTGATGATTAATGAATAATCACCATTGAATGAACAGATATATCATGGACTTGCATTGTTAGAAATCTGAAGACAGTTCATTAAGATTAGCTTGATTAATGAGTATGTGGATCTGAGGATAATGAATTTAGTTACTGGATTAGTTGTATTTATAATATCAGTTAAAACACCTTTTTTAATGAAAAGAAAATGTGTTATTTAGAAAGTTATTTGTAAAAGACATTATAGGAAATTAAATTTTGTAAATCCTTTTAATCCATAGTTTCCAGGTAAGTAATTCGTAAATTAACAGAATTCACTTTTTTCATAGGAAAGTAATGAGCATAGATATTGTATACAAATGATATATAAACTAATTCGTAAAGATTTTATAATTGTACATCGTAGGAATCAGGTGATTAAGTTTGATTAATACGGTAGTATTTTCTTTACTTCGTATTGTAATATGTTCTGTTATGCGGTCTGAATAATCATATTATTAGATGATTTACTCTATAATTACATATAAACAGTACATCATTTAAAGATATAATCGTTATAATTTACTGATGTGAACAGAGAAACAAAGGCGCCATGACAAACAATCAGTGCTATTTTTGGAGAGGTTGGTTTACTTAATTCAAAGCGTGAAAATCACTAACATTTAGTTTTGTCCCTGGTTTATTCTACAAACCAGAAGCTTTCGTTTGATTTATGATGTATTGTCATGCCCGTTTTTGTCCCAAAGCTATTGTAAATTAAAAGTAATCTTTGGTACTCTATTTTTTGGCCTGATGCCCAGTTTGAAAATAATGGTATTTTTCTAGTTGTTTGTGCGTTGTGCTCATCTTAGTCATCTTTTTGCACTAATCTGAATTGGGAATAAATCGTGTAATGTTTTAATTGACTCGTCTTCTCTCTCTCGATTGTCAACCAATCGATTGACAGAATAGTTTTGGACTCTTTACCCAAGGCAATTAGTCTCCTTTCAAACACACATTTCTAGCCTCAAGGTTAAATCAGTTAGCCTATCGTCCAAGGACTTAACCTAGATCGATAAAAGTTACCTTCTGTATATTATCAAGGACGTAACCTTCAGGTTGCATATTTTCATAAATAATTCTTTTCAGTCATATACCAGTTTGTTGTCCTCTGTTATTCTTTTTGTCCAATGTGAAATAAAGTCATGTGGATGGCAATTTGTAGTTTTGTTAAATAGTTGAATTCGTGAGTCGATTAAAGCTGAACTATCATTACAAACCTGAAAGCCCTGGACAGCCGTCTCGTCCCTGTATGGGACTCCTCAGCAGTAGGCACATACGACCCCGCATGCAAGACTCGAGCCCAAGACCTTCGGTTTCGTGTGCGAGTGCATAACCTCTAGACCAATAAGCCGGCATCTAACGGTATTTATGTCTAACTTCAACCAATCCACGATATTGCGCAACCAGTGGAGTTCAAGCATGTGTGTTGTGAGGCAGTTACTCACTGACGACAATAGTGGATGTTTGCACAATATCGTTGATTGGTTGAATTTAGACTCTAACACCATTGGATGCCGGCTCAGTTGTTTAAAGGTTTATTTACATCATTGGTAAAGCGAAAGCATGAATCAACAACTGGGACAAGCCGTCAAACTAAGAAAATTCTTACACATAATCTCTAAATAAACTGCATCACGGAAACATTTTATCAGTATTATTTTAGCATATGCTACGACACAATATCTCTTAACATCATTTCGTAACACCAATCAAAAAGCCAAAAACAGGAGGAGACTGGTAGATTTACATTCATTCAAATATCTACTTAATAACAACACAAAATCAGAAACAACTCACAGTTATAACTGGTGAGAACAATATGTAAACAATATAAATAACAAAATAATTAAAAACAGTGGATGGAGATTGTTATACCCTAACAACCTTTCAATATCACGTAACAAAATCGCCAATTAGAACTCCAACATATATGGCCTTGTCCCTGTGCTAAACTAATGACGCATTAACCAGGAAAATCAGCCTTGAGTCAACTTTGAGTCATTATTGGTCCTCTATATAGTAGCTTCTCGCCTAACCCAACACGGTTCAGTCCAAAACACAAATATCAGCTTCCGCAATATAACTCGTATATTTCAGACTTATAGAAGATCATGGCAAGAAGTGACTGTGAGTGTGAGAGACTGTAACTAATAAATTGTGAATAACTTAAGATTTGAATCTTAATATGAATAAAAACACCAAGATTTAGTTGCAATTAAAGAGTTCTAAACACAAAGAAATGTTTATTCTGAATTTCAGCCTTAATCAAAGTACGAATACACTATTATGGACATTATTCGAATAATTCCGTCCAATATCAAAAGGAAAGAATTGTGAATATCCTTAAATGAGAAAAAGAAAGTTCGAATGATCATATGATTTCAAAGTAAAACTACTGTATAAAGTAACGTCTCCATAGATCTGAAATTCATTTTTGCTAGTCATGTTAGTTTATACAGTAAATGCAAAATCATTTGCATAAGTCATATAATGTCTGACGCAATTAGAAATGTTTAAAAAAACTAGTATATGTTTACATCATTATTAGAAAGGGTTTAAATGAACATGTTATCAAAGTTGTTGACTGAATTTTTCGATCAGTTTTTGTTAGCATATGTGTATTTAAAGCAGATTGTCTCGACATAGCCATTTTGTCACGAGTTCTACAGCATTGATGGATTGTTACTTCATAACGTTTTTTTATCCATATTTTGACCTACTTACTATGCTGAAGTATTTACTCAAGAAGTTATTGTTCTTATGAATGCTAGTAAACTTATGATTTTGTAAATGTATATTCAGGCCACAACTATGAATGGCCTCGACTAACATTTGTTTAACCGATTCCTTTATATTGTTATCTTAATGATAATAAGGTAATATTACATATTTCAGATACTCTAAATAAACAGACCAAACGCTCTAAGTAAAGACTTGAAGAAGGCATTTTTTGGAATAAGTCTATAAGCAAAAATGTGGGTCATGAATTATAGAGAGGATTCACTTACAATCTGTTAGACTATAGATAGATAAAGTCTGACAGGCATACGCTTATTCACATATGGGAAATGCACATAAGCAATCAATCATTCGACTTAATGCAAAGTAATCAGTAAGATGATAATAACATTTGTTTGTCAAACATTTTACTCATCCACATTATAAGGTAAATAAGAAGACTTGCCTATAGTCCGTTTTATTTATTATACTAGAGAATTCAGCGAAGAAAATTTTCTTTTCGACGAAATCATTTACTTAAGCTGTACATTCGTATATATAGTTATATGGAAAATGTATGTCTGTAGGAGGATAGAAAAAATTGCATCACAAAAATGGATTCAAGGATAAATAACAAATGAGGTTACGTACTAATCAAGGGGTAAGGTAGAAAATAATTTATGGGTCAGATTGTAGTCCAATTGACAAATATGAAGATTAGCGACAAACACAAAGGTCATTATATATATATATGACAAAAAGCTGAACTTCCTTGATGTCACACTAAGCAGACGAAGTGATGGCACATTAAGTAGAAGTGTGTATAGAAAAAGCCCCTCTGCCTGCCAATATACTCACTTCTGCAGTTTCACACCTATCCGCTACAAGAGAAATTTGGTTATATGTCTCACTAGCAGAGCTAAAAAGATATGTACAGCAGATACTTTAGGTCAGGAGCTTGAATTTATTAATAACTCATTGACCGAAATCGGCTACCCCAGTGCTTTCATTAAGTACATGTATGACATAATAAAGAAGTCTGAGATTTCGACTGTTCGTAAGAAACCTTTATACATGAAACTACAATTCAGCGGGGATGTGGCTGGTGATACTCTGAAATATAGGTTAACGAAAGTAATCAGCATGACATTCTCTAATTAGCAGTATCGTTAAGTTATACATTAACAGGGCATATAGGCCACAAGTTATAGCATTATTGTTTTAATTGATTTAGTAACATTACGTTTATCTACCATTCAGTATTATCAGGTATATATCTAACTTGTTTCCCAGTTTAATGTCTAACTATCTAATACTACTTAAAGAAGGTTTATTATTTATCATTTAAATTCAATTCAAAGATTCATCTCTTAGTAAGATTACTATG